CACGTGACAGGACCACGGTCGGATGATGCAGCGGAGGTAGCTGCACTGGGCGTTTGGGCTCTTCTTGAAAGGGGTTCCAGCTGAAGTCACGATAATAGGCACGAGCGCACACGCTCTGATGTTTTATGCGCACAAAGCACACGTAGCAATGGCTCTCGTACGGCACACTAAAAGGGGCCCCTTCATGAGCCTTCACATGCGACGGCATATGCTGCTGATAAGGTCTCAGACAAGCTACACTTGTTGCACCACCCCCAAAAAGGTTCAGCAGCATCTGTGAAGAGGTCCTCATGAGGGGTCTCAAGGAACTTCTGTACAGTGCCTACAGCAGTGGTTCCTACTTTACGTCCCTTCTTTGCTGAGGTAAAGGAAGGATCATACCGGATACACCAGTAGCCCGTTCGAAGAAACTTTAGCAAGCCCTCACGACAGTCAGCTCTCTTCTTCGTTAAGGCGTCAGCCAGGTCGAAGTCGCTCGCCAACCAGCGTAGTTCACAGGCAGCTCGACGGAGATTCCCACGTAGCTGAAACGCTTGCAGGGCAGCTCGCATGTTGCTTAGGCCCAGCAGTGGCGATTCGTTGAGTTCCACTGCGTCGTATCCGCCTCTGCTGTCGGTGCAGAGAACTCCTTTGATGCCAGCGATCTGGCGCTCCACAACATCCACCATGTCGACTCGCAAGGGTCGCTCTGAGTCGTGGCCGGCAGCTCCATGTAGTTCCGACCACAGAAGTCGGGCTCTGAAGTTGTGATCCTCGGCTTCCAAGATTGACTGCACCTCAGCGTCGTTGCTCCCGATGGCCTTCCGTTTGAGCTTCCACGTGCGCCATCCAATCAGTGACATTGGGCACACACGTCCAGTGACACTTTCTGGTCCAGACACCAGAGTCACCAGTCCGCCCGTAGAGTCACCCTTTGGGCGATTCGCATGAGCTTGATCTCCCATCGAGATGAAGACTATGTCCCGCCAGTGTTTGGCCTTCACAAACTTCTGAAAGGAGAGGCTGAAGGGCTCCTGTCTCACTTCGGAGATGACCTGCTGGATGTCTCTGGCAGTCTCCATCGTGCCATTGGTAACCAAGTCCGTCAACAACAAGTTGCATCTTGCACATACTTGGGGCTGAGACTGGATAGCAACGAATTGTAGCGCACCCAGCGATGCCCGGCAGGCATCCACGTCTTGTTTAGAGAGCGAAGTCTCTCGCCGGAGTCGTTCAGGTTCAATGTCCACATCGGTGAGCGCCTCGATGTAGTAGCTCTGGTCGTCTTGTTGTAGCCATTCTCGTCCTTCACCGTAGACACGTCCGTACCTGCATGACGATATGCGCCAGTCTTCGTCATTCCCCACTTGTAGGCATTGTTGATGCGTTCTCGAATTTCCAGCCACTCGGGGGAGCCATCGCCAATCCTGTGGAAGTCGTCAACATGTCCTCCCATGGCACCGATAGTCTTGGGGTGGTTGCCGTCCATCTTCTGTTTGGACAACCATATCCAAAGACATCTCTCTCCCAAGACTGCTTGAGCACCAAGACTTGTGAGAGTCTTGTGCAACGACAGCCATAGCCCTCTCGGAGCGGTTGTGCTGCCATAAATATTTCGCAACACCCTCATCACGCTGTTGGTGTCGATGCCAAGGGCTTCACGAAGTTCGTGAACACCAGTAGTCCACAACTCCTGGTCAGCTTCAGTGGGCTGTGTTTGAAAAAAGGCTGTAGCCAGGTCCAGTCCTTCCAGCTCCCACTGAGAGTCTGCTGCCATAGTGTACAAAAGGTTTCTCCCTAGCATAGACTGTACAGGGCTCGCGGTCTTGAAGGTGGGGTCCAGCAAGCTCGGGTGTTGGAACCCAAGTAAGACAATCCTCGCCTTGGCCTTCTTGGTACCATTGGCATTGTGCACGGTTTTGGTATTTTCGCGACTGTCTTGTAGAGCTTCAGCTTGCTCCTCAGGAGGGACAAGCTTCCAAGTCAACACCCATCTCGCCTTGACCACTCGTCCGGAGTCCATCGCCTTTCGAAGTTCAGCGTCATCTAGGCACTTCCGCACTGCCTCATTCTTGATGAAGGAGTCAACCTCTTTCATCTTGGCTCGATGAAATAGTGCTCGGTCCTTCACTGACAACCTTGAGAGGGAAACCTCAGAATCCTTCATCTTTTTGACAATGTAGAGGAGTGGATTGCGCTCTAAAAACCTTCGTTGTCGATTGGACGCAGGCGCGGGGAGGTCAAACTCAACTCTCATGAACTCCTCAGTTTCCTGGAACGCAGTGAAGATGTCAATGGTGTCCTGAGGCTGGGACTCCTCCATGTAGAGCTCGTCGACCCACGTAGGTTCGGTTTTGGGTCGTTTGGCCTCAGGATCCTCGTAAGAATTCACCGTTGTGTCCAGGGGCCGTGTTGAGCCGGACAACGGGTCATCCGTGCCAGTAACTTGATCACCGCTTGATGCCGGTCGCTGCTCCTCGGTGGTCGTAGTAGGGGACGTCGTCAAGGTAGTTTTCCGGGATACCCTGCGCGTGGGTTGCACCATTGTCCGCTTGTCGGGTACTTGTGGTAGATCAGGTAACTCCACCTCGTTCTCCTCAGGGATCTGGTCGGTGAGGTCCACGTACTCGCGGTTGGGCATAATGTCCGACAGTGTCCTCCATGTAGACGACTGATCCTCGCCAGATGTCTCAAATTGAAACCTCTCGGTTTCTGTAACGGGCCTCACAGAGTGCACTGAGCATCTGAACATCTGAGAGCCGATCAGAACCCACACAATGTGTCGGCGTGCATCGTCGGCATCTTGATGTGGTAGTACTTCATGGAAGACAACTCGGCCGGGGCCAACCCAGTGAGGTCTTCCAGACTTCCGGTATCCTCCGCGGGGTCCTTTGAACTGTTGTTGCGGCCAGACCTTGCGCCAAACCTTGACAAGTTCCATGGGTCCAAATTGTCGTAGAGGTTGTCGGACGGAAGTGTTGTTGAGCTTCGTCAACACTCTTTTTGCCCGTGTAGATCGAGCAATCTCCTCCGCCTTGGACCGTGCCTGCACCAGCTTCACGAACTCGTGTTGGTAGTCGGAGGTTAAGAATGTCCGTACATCCTCATCGGACAATGAGTACTCACGTCCGAAGGCCCATTGGTATGACGAAAAGCCACCGGTGTACTCTGTGGCGTTCAACGATGAGGTTGCTAAAATCAAGGTCACGGCGGGGTCTTGGGTCAAGTTCTCCAAGTGGATGGCAGATGCCGTCATCTTGACATCCTGAACACCGGACTCTAGTACGCCGTGGGACCATGCTTCCTTCTCGGCCACGTAGGAAACCTGAATGTTGACGTGGCTCGCAAACTCATGCACAGCTTCGGACACGAAGCTCTTTGCAGCATCCATCACCAAAAGCTTCGGCTTGGGAAAGGCTCCTAGCCATCCTTCGGCAAAGTTGCGGATGAAGTCATCGCCAGACTCGGACCGCATCTCCAGGAAGTCGTACACATACAGCGGCTTCGTGACTCTGAGCTTCGTGGCCAGATCCATGAAAAGAAGAAACTTCACCTTGGTCTTGCCGCCAGGAGGGACCCACTCAGCAGAGTCTACTCCCACAGCTTCCCATGCACCATACATGGAGTGTGTAGACGCTGGCGGTATCTGACCTGAGCTCGTACCGCCGGGTTTAAGACTCTGACATGCTGGACAGCTGTGTTGTAGAGCTGCTTGTACTCGCCATTCCGGATGTCCCGCGTCCTTGACGATCTTGGCCAGGTTGCGATTCGTAGGATGTCCTGCAGCTTTGTGAAACTTGGCAATTTGCGCCTCCCATCTGGCCCTCTCTGCTTGTGACGGTTCTGGGCTATTGCCTGTGGCATCCTGCGAAACACCATGATCCGAGGTAGAAGTCGCTGTAGTAGCTGCAAAGTGGACCTTGACTTCCTCCGATGGAATGACTGGATCCTCGGTAGAAGTCGTTGTAGTCGCTGGAAAGTGGTCCTTGACTTCCTTCGACGGAATGACTGGATCCTTGGTAGGCGTCGTGGTAGTCGATGAACATGAGTTTTTGATCTCTGGTACCTCGACAAAGTCACGAGGAAAATCACTGTGACGGGGTAGCGGATATCCAAGCTTTGTCAATGTAGCCCAATCGTCCTTGGTCAACTGTGGTGTTAGCCTAGTCGTATAGGCTGTTATCACCAGCCTCTGACCTCGCGAACTTTGAGTGGCATGCGTCACCTCGGGTGAAAAGATCACAAAGCGGCGCCGAGTGGGGAGGACGTAGCCTGGACAAAGGCTGCCATCAGGTAGTTGTCGTCGGACAACTGAATGTCCATTAGGGCTTTCTCCTCTCAACCAGAGTCCGCCGTCCTGATACGATCCCATTCCATGAAGGATATTGACGGTGCCCTTGCAATTGTGGTTGTCGGTGTGGGGCAGCGTCTTGCCGTTGAGCGTCAAAAGGATGCTCGACCATTGCTGTTGAGGTAGCCAATGCCTCAAATAAGAGTTTATGTAGTAGTTCAGTTCCGGATAACGTAGGGAGTTTCGGGTAACTCCTGAAAAGGCTCCATGGGAGTAAGCTCCCAAAAGAGTATGGACGGGAGACTGTTGCCACCGAGAGTGGTTTTTCTTCTCGATATAGGCTTGCTTCGTTTGATTCATGAACTCCAGAAGGATGTTCTCGCAGACTTCCATGTCAAAGCGTTCTCGTAGGCGGGCTTCACGACATAGTGTCTCCAAACCAAGTCGTGTGGCCTCCATCATCTGCGTTTCCATGTAGGCCTCCTCCTCACCAAACACATGGTCCTCGTCACGTTCTTCTAGAACATGGTTCCATTGGATGCCTCCAGTCTCAACCGGGGTGCTGGTAACACCTTCACGTTGTTGTAGTAGGCGGGCGTGTCGTAGAGGTGCGGTGCGGTCACGCCAATGGCGGGCCACTGCCTGTACCAGTTTCCACGGATAGTAGGATGTAGCCAATTGTTCGTGACCTTCTTGGCGGCAGTGACTGCCATGGTTTCCAGGGCAAACCTTGGCTCGAAAGGCGTGGTGGAAGGACTCGTCTGTGGTGTACACTAGCCATGGCTTCCGGATGAACATCCCGGTGTCGTTGTCTCGCATACCGTAGTTGCACCCATCAATGCGGCACCGCAACCACGGCACGCCGCTCCTTTCCAAGTAGGTCTGGAAGTCCACCATGGGAGCCTGCTTCCAACCACCACAAGGGTGAGGCCACTCGAAGTAGATGTCGAGCTCGGAGTCCTCCTCGAGTGATTCCTTCAGACAGGTTGTCACTTCCCAAAGAAGTCGTCGTTCTCGGCGGCGGCCTTGCTCCAGCTTCTCGGAGTTGTCATAGTCGAGGGACCGCCAAGCACACCACTTACTGCTTGGTAGGCTGAGCCACATGCGACGGGGTCGGTGAGCTCGTCGTAGTTCACGTAGACGCCACCACGTGTCGCGCTGGTAGAGGTCAAAGCCATTCTGGTAGTTGATCTGCCTTGGCTTCAATCCATGCTCTTCGGCAGCTGCGCTCAACCAGCTGTGTGGTCCGCAGGATATTTCCCAGAGAAATCTCGGTCATGTAGGTGAAGACCCATCAGGAGGTTCGCTGCCCTTCACATGTAGCCGCCCTGCGCCTCCGTCTCGTAAGCCTGAACCAGCTCCTCGTCGTCTTCCGGCACAGCCACTTCCCAACTTGTAGTTGTCGTCGGGGAGGTCGTAGTCGCCGGCGGTGCTGTCGTCGAGTACGCCTTGGTCCTCGCCTCGGTGATCGCCTTGTTCAGCACCTCCTCGGCATTGATCTTCGCCAGCATGTGACGGCAGATTTGGGCCGTGGGTAGCACGTCTCCCATCAACGGTTGAAGCTCGCCCAACATCCGCTTGATCATGCCGGGGTTCTCCACAGTAGTGTGCTGAGAGCTTGATCCCTGGCGAGGGGTGTACAGCAGGCGCACATTGCACACTGCACACACTATCCACTGGCCGTGTAGATTGGCTTGAGGAGCACTGGGGGTGTGACGGCCCCAGCATGGCCACTGCTTCGCCCTTGCCCTGGGGTCCCGCACGTCCATCTTCATGACTCGCGTGGTGTCCAGCGGCTTCGCTTTGTTCTTGGCAGCGGCGGTCTTGGCTTTCAAGCTCTCCACCATGATCTTCTCCACCTCTGGGTCGATGGTGGCTGCATCCGTCTTGGTTGCCCGAGAGGACGTTGCCATGGTTCAACAAGGAACGCGAAGGAGTTGTTGTCGGGGAATCGGGGGCAATCGGCCCGCACATTTGATCTGAGATCGCTGCTGAATGAGAGCGCGAGTGATGAAAGAGCTGCCACATGCGTTCTCGAGACTG